ATTTATGGAAATACAGAATTTATTGGCATTGCTATTGGAAATTATTGAAAATATAGGATTTATTGGTATTTATATACGGATTTTATGAAAATAAAGGACTTATTAGTAGCTCTTTTGGGATTTATTGAAAATATTGGACTTTATGTTTCTGTGAAGATTTATTTTAACTTTATCAGAGAGAAGTATTTTGCATATGTGGTACAACAATCACCAATGAAAATTATCTTATAGTACACTTTTCACAGACGTTACTTATTCCATTAAAAATAATTTGAACCTTATTTTTAACTGAGTAATTTTGTCATGTTAGTTTTACCATATGCAGGTGTTCTTGATCCTAGGAATTGGATTTAAGTGTGTGTGTGATTGTGTCTGGTAGGTTCATTTGTGATATTCTAGCATAAAAGGTACGAGTAATTAATTCACACCTTTAGTGTGAGAACCATAGGCCAGGTCAAGTCATTAAACAAGTGTGACCTAATTTTATGTAAAATCAGACGCCCTCAGTGTATTTTGGAGGAAATGGTAATTGTTGGCGGGTCTTTCGTTCTGAAAATTGTGAGGTAATTATCGAATCCCAGGCAGGTATGAAGCAGCAGGTTCGGGCAATGGCGGATATGTGCATACTCATCTAATTGTACTCGCCTAATTGTGGTTGCAGGGGTCGAGTTATAGTTCCTGGCCCCGCCTCTTTATTGATTGCTACTAGGTCCTCTCTCTCCCTGCTCCATGAGCTTTATCAAACCTTGTGTGTGTGTGTGTGTGTGTGTGTGTTGATTATTTCAGAAGTAGGACACCAGGTGAATCTTCAGGTAATAGGTTGGTGGGAAGGAAGGTAAACGATTACGTCTATAGCAACCCAGGTTAGAAACAGGGATGACGTAATTTTTCGTTAAGTCAGGCTGGGGCTGACTGTAGTTATTTAGTTCACACTCTTAGGTGAAATATCGTGGGCTACGTTATAAGATCAAACGATAAAGTTATAAAACGAGTATGAACGCATTTGTGTATCACTTGATGGGTTGGCAGAACTAACACCAGGTGAAAAGTCGAGGTTTTACCTGGAGTTTACCTGAAGAGAGTTCCGGGGGTCAACGCCCCCGCGGCCCGGTCTGTGACTAGGCCTCCTGGTGGATCAGAGCCGGATCAACCAGGCTGTTACTGCTTGCTGCACGCAAACCAACGTATGAGCCACAGCCCGGCTGGTCAGGAACCGACTTTAGGTGCTTGTCCAGTGCCAGCTTGAAGACTGCCAGGGGTCTGTTGGTAATCCCCCTTATGTATGCTGGGAGGCAGTTGAACAGTCTCGGACCCCTGACACTTATTATATGGTCTCTTAACGTGCTAGTGACACCCCTGCTTTTCATTGGGGGGATGTTGCATCGTCTGCCAAGTCTTTTGCTTTCGTAGTGAGTGATTTTCGTGTGCAAGTTCGGTATTAGTCCCTCTAGGATTTTCCAGGTGTATATAATCATGTATCTCTCCCACCTGCGTTCCAGGGAATACAGGTTTAGGAACCTCAAGCGCTCCCAGTAATTGAGGTGTTTTATCACCGTTATGAGCGCCGTGAAGGTTCTCTGTACATTTTCTAGGTCAGCAATTTCACCTGTCTTGAAAGGTGCTGTTAGTGTGCAGCAATATTCCAGCCTAGATAGAACAAGTGACCTGAAGAGTGTCATCATGGGCTTTGCCTTCCTAGTTTTGAAGGTTCTCATTATCCATCCTGTCATTTTTCTAGCAGATGCGATTGATACAATGTTATGGTCCTTGAAGGTGAGATCCTCCGACATGATCACTCCCAGGTCTTTGACGTTGGTGTTTCGCTCTATTTTGTGGCCAGAATTTGTTTTGTACTCTGATGAAGATTTAATTTCCTCGTGTTTACCATATCTGAGTAATTGAAATTTCTCATCGATGAACTTCATATTGTTTTCTGCAGCCCACTGAAAGATTTGGTTGATGTCCGCCTGGAGCCTTGCAGTGTCTGCAGTGGAAGACACTGTCATGCAGATTCGGGTGTCATCTGCAAAGGAAGACACGGTGCTGTGGCTGACATCCTTGTCTATGTCGGATATGAGGATGAGGAACAAGATGGGAACGAGTACTATGCCTTGTGGAACAGAGCTTTTCACCGTAGCTCCCTCGGACTTTATTCTGTTGACGACTACTCTCTGTCTTCTGTTAGTGAGGAAATTATAGATCCATCGACCGACTTTTCCTGTTATTCCTTTAGCACGCATTTTGTGCGCTATTACGCCATGGTCACACTTGTCGAAGGCTTTTGTAAAGTCTGTATATATTACATCTGCATTCTTTTTGTCTTCTAGTGCATCTAGGACCTTGTCGTAGTGATCCAATAGTTGAGACAGACAGGAGCGACCTGTTCTAAACCCATGTTGCCCTGGGTTGTGTAACTGATGGGTTTCTAGATGTGTGGTGATCTTGCTTCTTAGGACCCTTTCAAAGATTTTTATGATATGGGATGTTAGTGCTATCGGTCTGTAGTTCTTTGCTGTTGCTTTACTTCCCCCTTTGTGGAGTGGTGCTATGTCTGTTGTTTTTAGTAACTGTGGGATAACCCCCGTGTCCATGCTCCCTCTCCATAGGATGGAAAAGGCTCGTGATAGGGGCTTCTTGCAGTCCTTTTTGAGCACGGAGTTCCATGAGTCTGGCCCTGGGGCAGAGTGCAGGGGCATGTCATTTATCGCCTGTTCGAAGTCATTTGGCGTCAGGATAACATCGGATAGGCTTGTGTTAACCAAATTCTGTGGTTCTCTCATAAAAAATTCATTTTGATCTTCGACTCTCAGTCTGGTTAGCGGCTTGCTAAAAATTGAGTCATATTGGGACTTGAGTAGCTCACTCATTTCCTTGCTGTCATCTGTGTAGGACCCATCTTGTTTAAGTAGGGGCCCAATACTGGACGTTGTTCTCGATTTTGATTTGGCATATGAGAAGAAATACTTTGGGTTTCTTTCGATTTCCCAATATGTTTGTAATAACAACACGTCGTGGACACGACGAGAATGCCACGACCACCAGGTGGACGTATTTTAAACGAATTAAACGCATAAATGGGTGAGAGAGAATCTCTTGTTTGTCAGCCCCCAACTGTCAGTACGAGCCACCACTAGTGCACCATAATCAACATAATCACCTGCAAATTCCCAATATCATGTTTAATATCTGAGTGAAATCTCTATCAACTACCATCATCACCATCATCATCATCACCACATCACAATCACCACCAACACTATTCCTGACCACCCAAAATACACCACCATCATTACACTCCATCACCTTCATCGAAAACGCCCTTAATCACCACCAACACCGTTCGTCAATAGCACACTTCATCATCACCATTAATACACTATCACCAGAACCTTTCCCACCACCGTATCTGATATATGAGTAAAACCTTTACCATTAATAATCATCACCCATGGCAATCACAATCTTCATCATCACCGCCACATCACCACCATCATCAACAATCACAATCATCATCACCGCCACATCACCACCATCACCAACAATCACAATCATCATCACCGCCACATCACCACCATCACCAACAATCACAATCATCATCACCGCCACATCACCACCATCACCAACAATCACAATCATCATCACCGCCACATCACCACCATCACCAACAATCACAATCATCATCACCGCCACATCACCACCATCACCAACAATCACAATCATCATCACGCCACATCACCACCATCACCAACAATCACAATCATCATCACCGCCACATCACCACCATCACCAACAATCACAATCATCCTCACCGCCACATCACCACCATCACCAACAATCACAATCATCATCACCGCCACATCACCACCATCACCAACAATCACAATCATCATCACCGCCACATCCCCACCATCACCAACAATCACAATCATCATCACCGCCACATCACCACCATCATCAACAATCACAATCATCATCACCGCCACATCACCACCATCACCAACAATCACAATCATCCTCACCGCCACATCACCACCATCACCAACAATCACAATCATCATCACCGCCACATCACCACCATCACCAACAATCACAATCATCATCACCGCCACATCACCACCATCACCAACAATCACAATCATCATCACCGCCACATCACCACCATCACCAACAATCACAATCATCATCACCGCCACATCACCACCATCACCAACAATCACAATCATCATCACCGCCAAACATCACCACCATCACCAACAATCACAATCATCATCACCGCCACATCACCACCATCACCAACAAAAATATGTCTAATATTTTATGCTTACTGCAATAATAAATGCTTACTTTTTTAATAATAATTTACACTTGTGTAAAATTAATAATATACCATATATATCAAGTAAAATCGAAACTATGTTATACAACTCTGGCAAACATAATTAGAAACTCATTCTACGAAACGCATAATATACACAAATGTATCTCTCAAAATAAAATCCTATAAATTAATATTTGTGCGCACCACTGAATATAAACTTTTAGAACGCCACTACCATGTTTTCAATCCACGAAATATAAGACGGAGGTAATCGAATTTCATTTATCGAAATGGAGTTAGCCATAGTGTGAAAGCCCCTGAGTGGGACCATAAATCTAGTCATATATGCGATAACGAGACAAAAATTTGACCCGAGGAAATGGAGCTAGCCATAGCGAGATGTCCCCTTTATGGGACCATGAGCTAGACCTCAAGAGCTAGCCATAAGGTTAAAGGTGAGTTAAACCCTACTACTGTGCTTGCTTCTCCAGGTGCATTGTCGAGTATTTACACCCTAGCTTTAGCTGTCTCCTAACCTCCATCTGCTCTAGCCTCATTCTGTTTTTCTTCCATTTTCGTTATTATTTAAAACTTGATAATCAACAGTGATGAACGGAAAGTCATTCAGTTTTAATTTACATGTACCATGCCTCTTCTTGCTTTCACTAACATTGTTCCACAGCTCACGACAACGTGAAGGTGTTCATCACACTCGGTGGTGTCCTTAGTACGCAGGAAGCCATCTACCACGCCACGCCACTCCTCATTCTATCTATCCACGGTGAACAGCCCAAGGACGGCATGTTTATTAAGAACTCTGGATTAGGAGACATTTTAATATTGGAAGAGCTTACTGTGGACGTGACTGTTGACGCTTTCACCAAAATTCTTAACGAACCTAAGTACGTAAATTTTTTTAGCCCTGTTTAAGGGGAAAAATTAATAACCCAACCTCCTTAGTTAGGCTTTTTCTGTAACATAAATTTTAAATCTTTCATTCATGGAAGTATATCCTCTCAAGTTACGTAACTAATTTCTTTATTCATTCTTCTTATTAATCAAAATTTGTAAATTTCAAAACTGCATTTTTTTTATTTTAAAAGAAAATATAATCACTTTCTTGGTCTACATAAATAAAAGACAAATCACGTTCACCATCATTTATTCAATAGCTGTCTTGCTAGGAAAGCAGATATCAAAGTTAATTACCTTCCTGACTGTAACATAAGAACATAAGAATGGAGGAACAATGCTGAAGGCCTACTGGCCCATACAAGGCACATTCTTATCAAAACGACCCCTACCCAAAGCTACCCAAGAATATCCTCCTATACCCAATGACACCAATCAAACCCATCCCCTCCCACTCATATATTTTTCCAATCCCTTTTCAAAGCTACCCAAGTTCCTAGCCTCAATCACCCTACTCGGAAGATTGTTCCACACATTCACACCACTGCTTAGTGCAGGTACTGCACTTTCCAAGTGTAGAATTGAAGTCTGGCTAATTAGTTTCCATAAACAAATTTATAAATGTTATCTTATGCACTTTTAAATTTACAGCATTTAACCTTGATCTTCTTACCTACACTCTCTCTCTCATGACCACCTTTCTTCGAAATATTTGCTAGTATCTCCCATTGCCCCTTTCACTTCATTCATAATCACTTCTCTCTTACTCCATCTTTCCTTTACTGTTTCTGTAGCTCCGCCTAAATAGTGATCTGGACATCAATATCCAGAAGTCTGCTAGCAATTACCACATCGAATGTCCATCACTTATTAATGTACTTTGCCTAGAAAAAAGTATTATATATTACCCATTCTCATTTGTCCCTGGCACTCTAAACATATATATACTATGGCATCTTCAACAGCTTCCTCCCTTCAGCATATATGTCACACACAACAGTTATTCCGTCACTTGGTTCAAAACAGTTCTATGAAGTCGATTCAGCCCGGGGAGTATTCACATATACTGTAACATCTTATATTCCACTCTACTTCTTATCCTCATACGTCTTGAATTTGAGCACTTGAGCTCCCTCCTTTCTTTCCATAACTATTTACTAATCATTTCTTGCTCTCTTATTTGGCTCTCTAAAATGTTTGGGAAATCTTTCAGATTTTCTCACTGTACTTGTGCACAGGTATAAGGAAAACATGCTGAGGATGTCAGTGCCACTGCATGATCAGCCTGTACCACCCACGGAGCTGGCAGTGTTCTGGACGGAGTACGTCATCCGTCACAGAGGTGCGCCTCAGCTGAGGTCACCAGCGGCACAGCTCTCCTGGGTGGAGTTCCTCATGCTGGACGTGATCTTCATACTCCACCTGGCTATCTTTGTTCTTCTATTCATTCTACGTCGCATCTTCAGAGTCATCACTGCTAAAATCTTCGGCAGTAGTGGCAAAATGAAGAAGAAAAATGAGTAGCAATGCCTTTCTGGCAGGCAAGAGTAAATTGTGTTAAAAGTTATATTGTTTTCATCTTTTCACTTGTACTTTTACCTATTACTAATCTGTCAGTGGTTATGCCAGTGTCAATATGTAGAGAGAAACTCAATAATTTTCAGATTTTCAGAGCAGGTCGCTCCTGCCTCTCTCAATTACTGGATTATTATGATATGGTCTTGGATGCACTGGAAGAAAAACAGACTTTGCAAAAGCCTTTGACAAGTGCCATCATGGAGTAATAGCGCACAGAATACGAGCTAAAGAAATAACTAGCAAAGTGGGGAGATGGATCTTCAACTTCCTAACCAATCGGACACAATGAGTAGTGGTCAACAGAGTTAAATCGGAAGCTGCCATAGTGGAAAGCTCTGTTCCATAAGGCACAGCACTCGCCCCATCCTGTTCCCCATCCTCATATCAAACATAGACAGAGATGTAATCCAAAGTGCCGTGTCATCCTTTGCAGACGATACTAGGATCTGCGCGAGACACATCTACTGAGGACACAGTTAACCTCCAATAAGATATAAGTCAAGTTTTCCAATGGGTAACGGGAAACAATGTGATGTTCAATGAAGACCAATTCCAACTACTCCGTTATGGAAAACTGGAGGAGATAATAATTAAAACTGAGTATCCTACAAACTCTGATCCTACAATAGAGCGAGAAAATAAGGTAAGGGACCTGGGAGTGGTAATGTTCGAGAATCTCACTTTTAGGCATCACAACAGTTCCACGATCACAATTGCACAGAAAATGATTGGATGGATAATGAGAACGTTCAATATAGAGATGCCAAGCCATTGATCATCGTTTTCAAATCACTTGTTCTCTCTAGGCTGGAATACTGATGTTCATTAGCATTCAAAGTAGGTGAAATTGCATATCTAGAGAATGTACAGAGAACTTTACTGCACATATAAGCTCCATCAAACACCTCAAGTACTGGGAATGCTTGGAAGAGCTTGACTTGCAGTCATTGGAATGAATGCGAGAGAGATATATCATAATCTGCATTTGGAAAATCCTACAAGGAATGGTTCCGAATCTGCACTCAGAAATCACTCCGCACGAAAGTAAAAGACTGGGCAGGCGGTGCAAAATACCCACAATGAAAAGTAGGGGCGCCATTGATACACTAAGAGAAAACGCCATGAGTGCCCGAGTGCTCAAGACTGTTCAATAGCCTCCCACCATGCATACGGGGAATTACCAATTGGTCCCTGTCTACCATGAAGAGGGAGCTGAACAGATACTTAAAGTCAGTGCCAGATCAGCTGGGATGTGGTTCATACGTTGGACGACGTGCAGCCAGCAGTAGCAGCCTGGTTGATCAGGCCCTGATTCACCGGGAGGCTTGGTCGTGGACCGGGTCCCAGGGGCGTTGATCCCAGGAAAATCCTACAAGTAGACTCCAAGTATGCATTTTTACTATATTAAAGCTGAATATTACCTGTCAACAAAATATTAATCCCTAAAATATTGGTTAAAATAAATTATCAGAGTATATACCATGATAAATGTGTGCTTCTCAAAGTACACATTGTGTTGATTTAATTGTTCCTCACTTATTTCTTTAATATACATAAGTTTTAGTTGAAATTATGATTTTCGACAATTATTTTTTTTATATTACTTATTAATTGTTATGTAATGGTATGCGTTTCCTACAATACACATCCATTTAGTGATAAATTTCTGAACACTTTCTTGTTACCAGTGAAATTTTTAACCTGTTCCAAGACTCTTATAACAAAGTCTGCCGATAGTTCGGTGTTACCTGCTTCTAACATCTCTATTTCCTCTGAGTTGATCTTTTCTTGAGTTCATAATAATTAATTTAGTTAAGGATGAGAGTCTAACAGTATCTGTGGCTATCTGTGGCCTGGTCTCAGACCGAGCAGCGGGGGCGTTGACCCCTGAAACCCTCTACACGTCTCCAGGTAAAACCTGGTAACCTTAATTAAGACTAGGGGGGACTAGAGGATGTAGCGGGGGGGGGGGGGAGGCTGGAGGAGAAGTCTGATGTTGGTGGCGTGGAAAGGAACTAGAGGCGTGTGAAGACTTGCTGCGATTCATGTTAAAAGTGAGGAATTTAATGTCAGTGGTATGCACGTTGGAAGGCTTGTGAATGTAGGATTTCGGCTGGAAGCATTGTCAGGGGTGGAGATTTATCCCACATATAATTGGAAGGTAATATGGGAGGAATTCTGGCAGCTTCGTATACCAGCTAAGGCCCGTGAGGTGGTGTATAGATTTATGATGGGGATCCTGGCATCTAGGGTAATGTTATTGAAAATGGGTTTTGAGGAGGATGTAACCTGCTTGCATTGTGGTGATGAAGAAATGGCTTTTCACGCAGTGTATTTTTGTCCATCCCTAGAAGAGGTAAGGTTGTGGATGCGAGGTGCTTTCGGGATGTTGAGAGGGGGAGGGTGGCTATGTTAAGGGTGTTACACCTTGACGTGGTTGGGGTGACACAGGATGTGGCACGAGCATTAAGATACATCATCATGGACTATTTGTACATGTCTTGGGGAATGCGTGAGGTACGGGGCACTGGTACGATCAGGGCGTTGGCTGTACGATTTTGCAGAACAATGTGCAGAAATAGAAGCGTCTATGGTAGTAGGTGGGTTGAGTCTTTTCCTGAGGGGTATCGCGATATGACGGTGGTAAAACTTCGCTGATTAGTTGGAACAGGACGGCAATGGACTGGTAGGCAGCGTTGATCTGGCGTGAAAGTGGACTGAGTAGTAGTATGATAAGGATGGAAGCAGGGAGTGGAGTGGAGAAGGATGGTTCTTGTATTTTATTTCCATTAGTTGCAACGTTGGTTGTTTTGTTTATCTAAGTTGCAATAATAAACATGTCTGCTTTTGTATGATTAGTTATCCATTACAGTGTTGTGGATTCTCTATTAAGAACATAAGAACATAAGAAAGAAGGAACACTGCAACAGGCCTACTGACCAATGCGGAGCAGGTCCATGTCCCCCCCGGATTAGACCAATGACCCCCCCCCCGGATTATCCCAATGACCCACCCAGTCTGGTCATCCCCACTCAAGGATGGAGCACTGTACCAGACCCAGCAGCACAAGCTAGTCAGGTCCAACTCACACCCACTCACACCCACTCATGTATTTATCCAACCTATTTTTAAAACAACACAACGTTTTAGCCTCAATAACTGTACTTGGGAGTTTGTTCCACTCATCCACAACTCTATTACCAGACTAATACTTTCCTATATTCTTCCTGAATCTGAATTTTTCCAACTTGAAACCATTGCTGCGAGTCCTGTCATGGCTGGAAATTTTTAGCACACTATTTACATCCCCTTTATTCCTGTTTTCCATTTATACACCTTGATCATATCCCCCCTAATTCTACGCCTTTCGAGAGAGTGCAGATTCAGGGCCCTCAGTCTATCCTCATAGGGAAGATTTCTGTTACATGTGATCATCTTTGTCATCCTCCTCTACCACCAGAACTGAGCAGCATAGTCTAAATGAGGCCTAACCAAGGATATATAGAGTTGAAGAACAAAATGAGGACTTCTATTATTTGTACTTCTAGATATGAAGCCAAGAATTCTGTTAGCTTTATTGCAAACACTAATGCACTGTTATCTTGGTTTTAGGTTACTACTAACCAGAACTCATAAATCCTTTTCGCAAACGGTAGTATTAAGATCTACATTATTTAGTTTATATGTGGCATGGTTATTTAACTGTCCAACATTTAGAACTTTGCATTTGTCAATATTAAACTGCATCTGCCACTTCTCCAACCATTGCCTCAGTCTATTCAAATCATCCTGGAGTGCTCTAATGTTCTCATTAGAATGAACTGGACTGCCTATTTTGGTGTCATCAGCAAATTTGCTTATGTCGCTATTTATTCCCTCATCTATGTCGTTTATATAAATTGTGAACAACAACGGGCCCAACTCTGACCCCTGAGGAACACCGCTTTTGACGTGCCCCCATTCTGATTTCTTCCCATTTATGCAAACTCTCTGCTGTCTATTTGTCAGCAATGCCTCTACCCAGGAAAAAATTTTTCCTCCTATTCCGTGTGCCCTAAGTTTCCTCAATAGCCTCTGGTGTGGAACTCTATCGAAAGCCTTACTGAAGTCCAAATACACAATATCATATTCATTACCAGGATCTACCTCCTCAAACACCTTAGTGAAAAAAGTTAGTAAATTCGTAAGTCATGAACGCCCCTTCGTAAAACCGTGTTGAGAATCATTAATCAATCTGTGCCTGTCAAGATGGCTACGAATTGTTTCGGCAATTATTGATTCCATAAATTTTCCCACTATGGAGGTAAGGCTTATTGGTCTATAGTTCGAAGCCAAGGGCCTGTCACCTGCCTTGTAAATAGGTATTACATTTGGCATTTTCCACTTATCAGGCACTATGCTAGTTTTTAGTGATATGCTAAAAAGATTAGCCAAAGGTATGCTAAGTTCCTCTTTACATTCCTTTAACACCCTTGCAAACAGTTCATCAGGACCTGGGGATTTGTTAGGTTTTAGTTTCTGTATTTGTCTGAGGACCATGTCACTAGTTACCACAATCGTACATAGTTTATTATCATCCTGTTCTACGTAATCTATTATTTCAGGAATATCGCTAGTATTTTCCTGGGTGAAAACTGAGAGGAAATAGGTATTTAGAATTTCACACATATCCTTATCACTGTCAGTGATCTGACCAGAGTTACTCTTAAGTTGGCCAATCTTGTCCCTAATCTTACTTCTGTATACCTGAAAGAACCCTTTTGGGTTAGTCTTTGAATCCCTCGCGACTTTAGCCTCATAATCTCTTTTTGCTTTTCTTATTCCTTTCTTTATTTCTCTCTTTAACTTAATATATTGAGTTCTTAACTGCCCATCCCCTCTTTTGATACGCCTATATATGCCTCTCTTTTGACCAATGAGATGTTTTAATCTATTGTTCATCCATTTGGGATCATTTTTGTTAGATCTAATTTCCCTACTCGGAACAAAAGTTGTCTGGGCAGCTAGAACTATGCTCTGAAAAGCGTCATATTGGCAACCAAAATCACCTACCTGACCCATAGTTAGGACATCCCAATTTAGCCCACCCAAGTAATTTTTCAGTCCCATGAAGCCGGCCAAGCGAAAATCTGGGACAGAGATTTGATTGCAGTTATATGGGTTATTCCATGATATATTGAAACTAAGTGATTTGTGGTCACTTTCCCCAAGCTCATCATTAACCTCAAGATTATTAATTAGTGAATCTTTGTTGGCAAGAACCAAGTCAAGCAGATTGTTTCCTCTAGTTGGTTCTGTCACAACCTGTTCTAAAAAGCAATCCTGAACCGTATCAAAAAAGTCACTAGACTCAAGATTTCCTGTCATATTGTTCCAATCAATTTGTCTAAAGTTAAAATCTCCCATTATAACAACATTTTCATATCTAGATGCCTTATGAATTTCGTCCCATAACAGCTTACTGCACTCCCTATCAAGGTTTGGGGGCCTATAAATCACATCCAAAATTAATTTGTCACGACCCTCGAGAAACTGAAGCCAAACCGATTATTTGTTCGACGTTTCTAATCTTATATCATGTCTAAGACAACAATTTAAATTTTCTCTGACATACATCGCCACACCACCACTCTTCCTGTTGACCCTATCAGTGTGGAATAGTTTATAACCCTGTATGCTGCATTCAGAACGCATTTCTCTATCTTTCAGGTTGAACCAGGTCTCTCTTATACAAATAATATCTATATTACATACACTTGCAAGTAATTTTAGCTCATCTATCTTATTTCTTAGACTCCTACTCTCATCCCCTAGTTCTCCGTATCCAACTTTGGCTACGCCGTATCTCTACCAAACATAAAGATATTGTTTTTTGTTGGGTCCCTGGTCATGTCGACGTACAGGGCAATGAACAGGCAGACACTGCTGCGCGGTCAGCAGTATATGACCTACCAATTTCCTATCGAGGTGTTCCATTTCTAGACTATTTTGCTGCAATAGCTACCCACCTTCGCACCCGTTGGCAACAACGTTGGTCAACTCTGCTCGGTAACAAACTTCATTCTATTAAACCGAGCATAGGTTACTGGCCGTCTTCTTGTCATCAGTGCCGAGGTTGGGAGACCACTCTCTCCCGCCTTCGCATTGGCCACACTCGTCTTACTCATGGGTATCTCATGGAGAGGCACCCTGTTCCTCTCTGTGAGCAGTGTCAAGTTCCAGTATCGATTAGCCACATTCTGTTAGACTGCCCTCTCTATCAACGAGCACGCAGAATTTACCTCCAACGTCGTCTTCGTTCTCCTACTCTCTCTTTACCTTCCCTTCTTGCTGATGGACCCTCCTTTAATCCTGACTCTCTCATTGACTTCTTGACAACGACTGATTTACTCCACAAACTCTGATGATACTTTTCACACTCCCCTCAGCCCTTTCTGGTTCAGTCTCTTGCTGCCCTTTACCCTTTCACCATCCACT